GATGGGCGCCAGCCTGGAACGGCCGGTGTCCATGGAGCCCGCTTTCCTTGGGGGGGAGGTGCTCCTTGCTTTTAGGAAGTTTTCTCTCTGAGGACAGATGGCTTTGTGTTTGTTCCTGTTGTGAAGTGACCGTGGCCACACTGAGGACGTCGGGAGTGAAGCTGTAGGGTCTGGCGAGCAGCCTGGCTTCCTTTAGCTCAGCCAACACTCATGATTTATGGGGTCTGAGGTGGCTTCTCGGTCAGGTTCCAGCGGTGGGATGGAGCAGGTTCCAGTGGTGGGATGGAGCAGAGCTGTGCCGGGGCTGGCACCTGTGGGGCCAAGGGGAGGTGGGTGATGTGCCTACAGAGAAATTAGTACCTATTATATTGAGTGCAGTGTTTTAAATTTAGATGGAAATGGTTAAACCTGAATGAAGTAGTTGGGGTGTATATCATTTTGCATACAAAGTAAATTAACAAATGGGAACAAAACAGATTAAGATGTTTGAAGTGTTATAAAGTGTTAATCTTGTTGCATATATGCATAAATGGAATAAAACCCCCCGTGTTTGTAGAAGGTGATCTGTTTGTGCTGTGCAGGATGTTAAGCTGGTTGTGTGCCAGATAGCAAGGCACATTTTAGAGGATGCACATTGTGGAAAATTTCCCAAAAGGAAAACTGTGTCAGCTCCAAGATAAAATGAAGATTTCTTCTCCTTTCCCCTTTCCTTTTTTATATCTTTGGAGGGCTACTTTTCTAGATGCTTTTGTTTCTAAAGTAAGAGTTGTCCATGTTGTATGATTTTTATTAATCTGATACACTGTAAAAATCATGCCCTATTATCCTATGAATTTTTTAAACATCCTGTGATGCAGACCAAGTGCTCTGTGATTAATTATTCTGTATCAGACGAGGTCTTATTCAGCTGTTTGTTAGGCATCTCTGTTGAGTAAGTGTTAACCAAAACCAAATGGAATTTCTAGAATGTCAGATTTCAGTGTCTCTATTTCCTCAGTGTCCGAGTTGTGCTGCTTGGCTGGGCAAAGGCTTGTTGTCTCCTGGTGGACGCTGTGCAGATCCCATCACCTCTCCTCTCTCCCCTCAGTTTTCCTCTTACACTGACCACCCCCTTTGTTAGTGTCATGGGAAATTTGGGCTGGTTTATTCTAAAGATGCAGCTTTATTTTTCTTTTTTAGGCAGCGAAATGCGCTTGGGTCGGGAAGGTGAAGGAGGCCGTTTCTTGAACCCTTTCCTGGCTCCTTCCCTGCCCGTCAGTGCCCGAGCTGTGGAGCAGCACAGGACCTGAGGCCCCCGAGCAGCGACAGCCCGGGAGCTGCCACTGGGAAGCTCTGACTGGGACACTGTGTTTGGACAGACCCGGGGACGCCTTATCAGTTGTCGCTCAGAAAACACGTTGAGGAGCTGTAAAAGGATGCTCTGTATAAATTCAGAAGAAATGTTTTGCCTGTCAGAACCAATTAGCTTAAAAACTGTTATCTGGCGTCTGGGTGAAATCACAGATGTGTCAGGCTCTGTCCTCAGCCCGGGCTGTTCTTGCAGATAAGCTGTGTGTGTCTCTGTGTGTCTCCTGCCCTCCCTCTCCCCTCCCCGGCAGCATTCCCAGGGACACACAGCGCACCCACTGCCACCCCACTGAGACCCAGACCCCTCCTCGGTGACACTTCTCCAGCCTCTGGGCGAGGGGCAGGGGGTTGAGTCCAAAGGCAAAGCCGACACTGCTCCTGCTGAGGGGCTTCATTCATTGCTGTGTTTGGCTTCAGCTCCCTTTTGCTCTTTTAACCATGGGGACAGGCTGAATGTTGGTTTTACTGGGCTTTAAAACTGAACAGAACCACTCAAAACTTTACAAAGTAGTTGAATAAGGAAACAATTTGACAAATGGTGTTCTTAAATCCATCTTTCGTGGCAAGTCTTGCCGTGAGAGGCAGCAAACACTGGGGCTGTGGAGAGGGGCTGGTGAGACCTGCAGCCCCACCTTCTTCAGGACGTGGTGGGTTTGGGATGGGGGTGGTGTGGGTGCCCGGGTCCGTGGGACAGAGGGGCAAGGGGGGGCTGAGGGGTGCCCCCAGGGGATGGAGCTTGGTTTGGCTGCAGTAAGCCCTCCAGCTCTGCTCTCCCCAGCCTGGTCCCCAGGGCACTGTGCCACTGGGTGATAGCCATGAATGGCCCTGTCTGTGCAGGACTGGGCATTGGCTTCACCAAGAGCGGGCACGTAAACTCAAAAAGCATAGTGAATTGTTGCTGTTACGGTTTAAATGCTGTTTGAGGCTTGTTTTCATTCCTTGGGATATTACAGTTGAGGTTTTTCAAGAGTGAGTGAAGTGGAGGGTCATTTTGGCCAGGCTTTAGAGCTCTGTAAAAGCAGCATCTCCCGAGCAGAGATGGTACCCAAGGCAGAAGCTGCAGTCCCTCCCAGTCCCAGGATGAGTGTCACCGACACTTGGTCCCCATCCAGTGGGGGGACCAGTTCCTGGTGCCAAGGCTGTGGCTTGGTGAGCTGGGGGGTCCCTGCCCTGAAGCGGAGCTATGGGGGGCAGTGGGCTGGGCACCCCCTGGGAGCCAGCTGTGAGGATGGAGTAGAAAAGATGAAGCGCCCAGATTCTTTATCACTCTCAGCTGAGAAGTGCCGTGGCCCTGTGGATGCTCAGCAGCAGCAGGGGGGTGTGCTGGAGGTGCTGGGGGCTCTGGGTGGGCTGGAGAATGTGGGGATCAGATCAAAGGTTAGGTCTCGTGGGGGGAAGCATCAATCAGTCCCATTGCAGTCACCCGGTGCAGGCGGTGGTTTCTGCTCTCCTTTTCTCTCCTCTGTCACCAAAGGACCAGTTCTGCTTTAGCTCTTTATTTTTAGAGTTGCCTGGGGCAACTTTGAAACTCTAGTTCAAATGAGGCTGTTTTAAGGAAAATACTGATAGAAGCTGTTAGTGTCGTCACGAGGACTGTTGGCCTCTAGAGAGGTTTTTCTCTTTATTCTTCTTGTTTCCCCTCCAAAAAGGGGTTCTGTGTATCCATCAGCAGGGTTTTGTTGGTTTGAGGCACCACGTTTATCCTAGGGAAGGCTTCCTTGATGGAGTTTGTGATCAGAGCAAAGGGAGTGGGAACAGGAGGGCAGGAGTCTGGGCTGCGGCGTGGGCAGGCGTGGGGCTGGGGGGGTACCCGCTCTCTGAGGGCCGCTGGTCGGGGTGTCCCCGTGATTAGATATTAGGAAGAATGACTTTCCTGAGAGGGTGGTCAGGCACTGGAACAGGCTTCCCAGGGAGGTGGTGAAGTCACCATCCCTTGGGGTATAGACATGGCTCTTCAGGGCATGCTCTGGTGCCTGAGATTGTTGGGTTGTGTCTGTTTGTGGTGGGTTTCTTTTGTTTGTTTGGTTTATGGTTTTTTTTGTTTTGGTTTGAGGATTTTTTTTTGTTTGGATTTTTTTTGTTTTGTTTGGGGGTTTTGTTTGTTTGTTTTTTGTTTGGGTTTTTTTGTGTTTGTTCACTGGAAAGTGTTGGTCACACGTGGTCTGAGAAACTGACTCTTCTCAGTCTCAAGCTGGATATTCCAAGCTCAGGAACTTGTTTTAAACACGTGGTCTGAGAAACTGACTCTTCTCAGCCTCAAGCTGGATATTCTAAGCTCAGGAACTTGTTTTCATGTTTCGTTGGTGGTTTTTTTTTTAAAAAAAAAAGAAACTGACTCTTCTCAGTCTCAAGCTGGATATTCCAAGCTCAGGAACTTGTTTTAATGTTTGGTTGTTGTTTTTTTTTTTTTTAAAAAAATAAGGGTGTGAGGTGTGTAGCCTGAAATGTCTTACTATAACTCAGAATGCTCCGTGTATTTATTTTTATGTTGTAGCCTGAAAAAATATATTGATAGCATCTAAATATAAAAGGTGGAAGTAAGAATCTGTGAAATTCCCACATTAAATTATAACTTAATATGTTAAGTTTTCCCTCGAGTAAACTGCTGCCGTGAGATCATGTACCAGTTTCCCCACTGGTAGTGATTTGTCGATTGTCTGTATTTTCTGTGCATTGTTCTCCCTGTGCACATAACAAAGGCGTTAGCACCAACAGGTTTGAGGTGCTGCTCCCTCCCTGGGGTACCCTGGGACTGAGCAGTCAATGGGCTCGAGGGGAGGATCCTCCATGAGATGGCCATTGTGTGTGGTGTCTGTCCGGGACTCTTCACGGAGGGTATTTCGGTGGCGCACTCAGCAAAGTCACTGCTGAAGGTGGAGATTTAGCAGAAAATTCCGCATTAGGGTTCCTGAAGCATCCCTCTCACATGAGCTGGGCTTTAAGGAGCCTTCTAAGAAGAAAACACCCCTGTTGCTGTGGTGCTGAGCTGGAATATTTGTAGGCAGCTGGTTAAGGTGTCCCTGGGAAGGGAAATGTTCCTGCAGAGTCGAGCGCGGCCCCGTGGGTCGGGGACACCTGGGTGCTGGTGGTGTGTGGGCTGTACCGGGAGAACAGCCGTGGGGCAGGGGTGGCCACGGGGAGATGACCTTGGACAGCATGGCAAGAAATAACAAGTTTATGTCAAAACAAGTAGCCTTACGAAGCAGGAGCAGTTGACTGTGAAATTGTTCTGTTCGGTGTTGCATTCAATACATTGGGATCTGAGGTCTGATTTTATCCCGAGCTTCATCTTGGAAGCACAATTCAGTATCTTGTTTCTGCATTTAGATGTACGATGGTTTAAAACAAAATGACTTTCCAATAGTTTTTTGTTTCTTTTTCCCTGTTCCTCCTCCTCAGTGAACAACAGTAAAAACTTTATCACCTTTTTAGTTATTCCTTGAGGAGATATCCTTGAGATGCTGATGTGATTGAAGAGGATGCTGTAGGATAATCTTAGTTACCAAGTTACTGATGCAAAGTGTGTGGGTTTCACAGAGTTATAAGGAATTCTGATATTAAATTAATTTTTTAAAAAACCGAGTTAGCGAGTGAGTTAACTTGTCTGTAGAGGTTGGCTTCATCTTAGTGTTGTGGGTCTTTTCTTTATGCAGTTTGAAAAAGAAAAGGCAAGCCAAGCCAAACACCGAGACCGGCTCTGCCAAGTCCCCTGGGTCTCCTGTTTCCAAAACACCTCCTGAGAAAGATGATGAAAGTAAAGTTATTTTGGAGCAAATCAGTTCCTCTGAAGACAACTGTAAAATTGCTGGGGAAAAGGAAACTGCTCCAGACAAAGAAAAGAAAAAGAAGAAATACAGTCAGCTGAAAGACATCAGACGCACGGAACTTAAAAGATACTACAGTACAGGTGAGTTGCAGTGATGCTCTAGTGGTTTGAAATATCTTTGTTTTCATAGCTTGTTAATGGACTTGTCTCATATTCTATAGGCCTTCCTTAAAAGGTAAGGGACTTTGGATACCCTTCCTGTAAAAGCAAACAAAATTACCTAGTTCTGCATATCACTTGCTTCTAACTTTAATGTTACAGTTCTTAAAAAAACACTTATTTCTTGTTTCTCAGTTCTAAAACTCAGTGTTTTTATAGGCAACAGTTAAGTTTATTATTGCAGTATTTTATGACATTGGGGTTCAGGTTTTTTTGGAGGAGTTGTTTCATAAGTTGTTGTGTACTATTTAAGACTTCAGTCTTAATTCATATTCATTTTGTCTGTTGAAGTGTGAACAAGTAAGTAAATTAACTATGTGTTTTTAAACAAAGGGCTTGCACGCTTGAATGCTTCCCCCCCCTACTGTATCAGTACCTCAGTTAATCATAAATCTCTTTTTTAGATTCAGGAAAAAAATTAATTCGTGCATAAGTACGAGATGAGTCATTTACACATGTGCTCGCAGTTCTGGGCTGCAGTGTGTTAGAGACACTTCAGTAATTTTAGATATGATTTATGGAATACTTCTCTGCGTTTTCTCTTGGTATTCAGTAGGAGTGATGTTCCAGATTCAGAGGGCTCTGGTTGTGTTTGGAAGGAGCCCTTTTCTGGGGAGGAGGCGGGCAGCAGAGCGTGGGTGTCCCGGGGCAGGGCTGTGTGCGGGCAGGGTGTGCGGGAGCAGGGATGCTCCTCGGGAGCGGGGCAGGAGCCGGGGGGCAGGTGGTGTGTGCTGGTGGCACATACAGACTAGTCCTCACCCGGAGCTTCTCTTCCCTGAGGCAACACAGGCCTTGCCAGAGAGAAGATAAATCTTGGAATGGCGTTTCCTGGCAAGCTCGGGAGTTTGCAGGGATTGACTGACCAGGCTGTGATTTAGGACAGGCATAAACCTGATGAGATCAATAATCTGGGAGCTCAATGAAAACTTGCAGCTTTGTTTGAAGTTCTCACCTTGAAATAAAATCTGTAGAAGGAACACTGGAGAATTGTTAATGAATGAACCTGTCAACTCTCTGTTTTGTAAGTTCACTAGTTTAAAAAACCCCAGTCACAGCAAAATATAAACTCCTGTTGCATTCCTTATAAAGAATGTCTGCCGGAGGCAGCAACCCGCTGTTGGTTTGCACCTAAAGGATTTGGGGGGAGGGTTCCGGTCGCTGGATGTTGTTTCTCTGGTGTTTTCCATGGGAAACACGGCAGCAGCAGCTGGTGCTCGCGGTGGGGATGGGGAAAAGGGGGTCGCTGGTCCCTCCTGCTGCCCGGGGGACACAGCTCTCCGGGTGTCTGTGGTGGCTCTGGCAGTCCACACACACCTGGGGTTCACTGACATTTGCCTGGGAAGCGTTCCCACGTTCTGTGTGGACGGGCACGGGTGCAGGGGTGGGTGTCGTAGGGGTGTGTGAGGCCCATGGGCTCTGCAGGAACACCCACCTTCTGCTGAGAAACCCCAGCACTTGGTGCCGGGCCAAGCACAGACCCGGAGAGAGGGTCCATGGAGAGAGGATCCATGGAGAGAGGATCCCCGTGGCTGTTTGAGCTCCTGCCGCCCAGCAGAGCCTGTCACCAGCTGGGGTGTGAGCGCTGTGGCAGGGACAGTCTGCAGGGGAATGGGGGACTGTGAAACCCCTGCGGTGTCTCAAAGCCCTCTGTGGTGCGGTGTCACTCTGTGTGTCCCACACCTGCCTTCACCCCCATGGTGGGGACCTGTGGCTCCCCGGACACTGCCACCCCCATGGCCATCCCCAGCTCTCCCTGCACCCGCAGCAGCCCCCGCAAACTGGGATGGTCCAAATGGTTCACCTTCCCCCGCGGCAGAGAACAAACCTCCGCCTGGCTGAGTCCTGCTGGAGCCTTCTCCCGAGTCTGGGTCCCCTACCTGCTGTGCAACCCGCCCAGAGCAGGGGTGTCACACAACCTCCAAGCTTATTCCACGGGGCGCAGAAAGGGGTGCCCGTCCCAAGGGAGCACACCTTCATCTCCAGAATACCCCTTTGTATACACTGGTTATTGCATATTCTAACAATTAATACATATTCGGTGTTACTCTCTATAATAAATGGTGGAGATCTCTTCACTTCCCATGTGAATTAGCACACAGACTGTTTTCTTCTTCCATTCATCTCTTTGGGGTCGGTGGTGTCATTTGGGGGGATGGTCAATGCGGGGGTGGTCACGGTCTCCCCTGGCCCAAATTCCCTTTTACCTTCCAAAATCCCGGCAGTTCCAGGAGGTTTCCTCAGTGCTGACCAGGCTCTGCTGACAGGAGCACACCACTTACCAACAAACTGCATTGTTGAGTGGTTGGTGCCTTAATTTAAGCTGAGATAAATCATGTCTCGTTGCTGTTTCTCTATAAATGATCAAATAGTGTTGGGGGGGGGCTTTTAGAGCAGCAGCAGGTTCCCTTGGTTGCTTCGATTACGTGTTACATTTCATGTTTCTAGTTAATACCAGTTTCCTACACCAGAAGGTGTGCACTGGGCAGTTCCCTGCTGGACGGTGTTACCTGCAGCAGGAAGGTGCTGCCATGGCTGTAAAGACTTTATTTTTGTAATTGCTGATGCATTTTCATATGGAACTGGCTGAGAGGGATTGTCCAGGCATATACGTCTGTCCTCAGTATCTAACATGGATGCATATACCTCAAAGATTTTTTTTTTTTCTTTCACATCATTTCTTCCCTCTGAGTTGTCCTTTTATTGGTGTTTCTGAGGTGCTCTGACTGCAATAGTCTCTCTCTTACTTATGGTTAACCATTTTTCTGAGTGTGTTTGCACAAGCACTTGGGGGTTATTTTTTCCAATTGCCCGGCTTGGACTTAATGTCTAGAAGTTCAAGAAAATCTTATACAGGAATTACTAATTCTTTTTCTAAATGCTTTCTTCACTTTCCAAAGCACTTGGTTTTCCTAGTGAGAAGAAGAATGCATCAGTGTAGCCAGAGCCGTGCAGCCGGTCTCCTCCGCGTGCTGACACGGTGACACGCACAGACCTTGTTCTGTGGCAAAGGGAGGGTCTGCCAGAGCCTCGAGGGGTTGTGTCTCTCAGTCCAACAGGATGAAGACCCCTAGCCTCTGAACAGCCTCCTCTTCGTGCTTCACAGGACCATGAATCCTTCTTTATTTGTAAGAGAAATGAGGAAGGAGCGTCACATCTCACTATAATCTGTTCCTCACACACCACGTCCCTTCATTAGCAGCTGGTGAATGTGTTTGCCTTTATGAATTCATCAGTGCTGACAGTGACATCCTTGGCCTGTCACTCTGAATGTCATTCCCTTTCATAGATCTATGCTGACACTCCTGTCAGGAGGATTTTGTTGACTCAGTAAATCCCTTTGTGTTTCATCTTGGCTTCAGAGAGCAAAAATGAGAGGTGGATATAAGGAGGTGTGAAAAGGGAAATAGTTTGTTTCTTCCAAAATCAAGATCTCAAATAAAATGAAAGCAGCATCGGAAGAAGCTTATTGAGTTGTAATTGACTGTGTAGAATAACGAGGGGTTTGGAATGACTTACAAGTAAGTGCAGCTGGTGCCTGGTGTGCCAGCATCAGGTGCTGTGACCCTGCGGGACAAGGAGGGGGAGGAAGGACTGAGAGGCGCCCGTTTCAGCTCATTTGTTTTGGAATAAGAGCAGATGATCTCAAATCCCAGTGGGTCGGTGTCAGGCCACCAGGTTCCGTTCAAGCTGGAGTGTTAATTGGTGTTTACTACAAACTGAAGCAGGGATGGCTTGGCCTCAGGCGGGGGAATTTGGTCTCAGCAGTAAGTACCAGAAATAATGCTCTTCATACTTAAATTCTGAAAATGTGGATGGAAATATCTTAATGCTGCTTGAGCTCCCTGTGTGTGGAATCCTCTTTTAATTCTCATCCTGATGGAAAAGCTCCTGTTTGTTGTAAAGCTAAGTAAAAGACACAAATAAGCAAAACTTGGTGGTTTGTATGTGATCCTTAGGCATTGGCTATCAATGCCCAACAGGCTGCCTCAAAGCCTGTGGTTAAGGAAGGTGAGTGAGCTGGTTTGGCGCCTGCTGTTAGATGGGGGTGAAGCTTTGTGGGTGTATAACCCCGAATTGTAAACCTGGCCTGTGATAGCCAGTAAACTGCTACACCTTTCCAATGGGAAGCGAGGGAAATGAAGTGGGAAAGTAAAGGACAGAATGTGAAAACTCTGTCCAGTAACATAAGAATAAAGAGATTTCTTAACTATGTTAAGAACAAAAGAGAAACCAGCAATAATTTTAGCTCATTTTGTGATGCTGGCGGTTGAATTGTCAGTAATTTTCTGGTGTGCATCTGGGCAGCAGGGAGGAGGAGAGGACTAGGAGGAGGACTGATGTGTTTGTATCCTCTGGTGTGATTCTCTCTGCTCAAACAGTTAGAAATTAAGGTAGGTGTTAGCTTAATACATGTAATCTCTTTTAAATTGGTGGAGCTGCTTTTCATGTAGGAGTCCTAAGAGATAATTGATGAACCTTCTTGATCACTGATGTGCCTTTTCTTCAGCAAGCCTTTAAAAAGGGTTGGTACAGGATTTTTATATTCCTTCCTTTAATTCTGAAGCAGCCAGCCAGGGCCGGTTGCTGCTGGTGGTACGTGCTGGGGTCCAAAGTGAGGTGTGAGAGCGATGCCTTGTGATGGGTCCCACAGGGGCCAGCAGGGAACGGCACGGCTGGGCTCTGATCGGCCACCACGGGACCACTGGGGGAGGAACCAGGTGCCATTCCCAGGGCTGGCTGCATTCCCAGGGACTGCATTTTTGGGAAAAGTGAGCACTTAGGTTCTGTGTTACATTTACATGCAGGTGCACTGGATGCTGCTGAGAAGCGTCCTCGAGGAGGGGAGGAAGCTGTGGAGCAGTTGCTCCCTGTGGCTCTCGGGCACCTCTGCCCCCAGGGAAGAGGCAGAATGGCCTCTTTGTAGTTTCAGGCACGAGGTTTTACATTCATAAGATTCTTATATTTTTAAGGCAGGAGTATTCATAGGCCGGGTTCACAGGGAGCACGAGGCAGTGCGTTTGAAATCACACTGCAGATCCTTTGGTCTCCAGGCACCACGTGAGGGGACCCAGGGGTCATTCCTGGGGACCCTGCAGAGCTCGAGCCTGCTCCCCTCAAGGCAGGCTTCTAGTTTCTCCTCTTCAGCAAGGTCCCATGCCCTGCTTGACGTACGCTGCTGGAAGTTACCTGGGTGTTCTGAAGTGCAGAAACGCAGATGTGTCAGTAAGGGCAGAAAAATGTCCGTTGCAGACCTGTCTGGTGTCGGTAGGCCTGTATTTTCTCGCCTGTTCCTTGGCGTTCTCCTTCTCCCTGCTCGTTAATCTTACTATTGTTACATCCTTCTTATTTTCCACGTTTCCTGAAATGCGGGAGAGGTTCCCTCCTCCCACTCTGCCCTTCTCCTGCAGACGCAGTGTGATGGGTTGGCATTAACACCCTTGGTTCCTGGGGCTGTACCGTCCCTCCCAGCACACAGCGCTGCAGGGGTGCTCACCAAGTGCCCGGGGGCATTGATTGTGCAGCCCCTGGAGAGGTTTGGCTCCTCCAACCCGTTCCATCTGACGGAAACATGGTTGCTGAGGTCTCCATCCCGCCGGCGTGTGCTCTGGGTGCCTTTGGGGCTGCAGCCAGAGCTGCCTCCAGAGCGGGTTTGCTGGAGGAGCGATGGCAGAGGGTGAGGGAGCTGGAGAAACACACGTTGTGGTGTTGGCAGAGGGTGAGGGAGCTGGAGAAACACACGTTGTGGTGTTGGCAGAGGGTGAGGGAGCTGGAGAAACACACGTTGTGGTGTTGTGCTTGCTCTGCTGGGCTCTCCCCCGCTGCAACCCCGCCTGTAGAGCATCATCTGGGACCGTGGCCTCGCTGCACGTACGGTGTGTGCCCTTAGCAGCACCCCTCAGGTTTAATGGATTCATTCCTTGGGACTTTTTCCTCTGAAGGTCTTGAGTGTTGGGTTTTTTTTTGTTAATTTATGATTTTAAATCTTTACACGCACAACTGAAAGCATAGACTAATTAAGACTTTCCACAATTCAAAGTGATTTGATGTGGTCTGGAATTGCCAAAGCCTGCCAGGCTATGCTCAGTGTAAGGGCAGTGTCCAGACCCCCTTGTTGGTGGGATTTAACAAAAAAAATAGGGGGGCGGGGGGAAAGAAAAAACTCTCCAAACAAGAAGTGTTGGATTTTGGTTTCAGAAGACAGGTGGGTTCTCAGGCTGTGACTGCTGCTTTTAGCCTGTAGCTGAACAGGCTGCACAACATATGTTCTTGCATCTAGGTGTGAAAGAAAAGCTGTCTAATTGGGCTTATTTAGGAATTATTAACCTTGATTGGCAAGACAAGGACTGAATTATGTTTAGTCTAAACTCAGCTTGTCTTTTGAACTTTTTCCCTTGTCTGTAGAGTTCTGGGGTTTCCACTCGGTGTGAGTGTCTGGCTCACTCTTGTGTGTCACCCCACGGCCGTGTCGGGGACCCCCCTGGCCAGAGAGACCCACGGTCCTGCCAGCCCAGGACTAGAGCACATTGCGTGTCTCCTTACCACATGCTGGTTCACGCTGTCACTTCTCACTGGGTGGTGTTTTCTCAGCTCCCAACCCTGTGGCCAATGAAGCAGGAGAACCTGAAAAACAGAGTGCATTTTACAGGGGGAGAGAGAGGAATGTCCCCTCCCGGGTGGGAAGCTGTGGAGGAGGAGGAGGCTGGCTGTGTCACTGGGGTGCTTTGTGGCTGTCTGGTGTCACAGCAGCAGAGCGGTTGCTGTCACAGTCAGCTCTGTCACCGTCCCACCTTCAGAGACAGTGCTTTGGAAGGAAAACGTTCAGCTGATGCCAAACACGATGAGCTCTGCAGAGAAATTTCTGCTGTTGCCTGTTGTTACTGCTCCCACCCACACACGGACGTGAGCCCTGTCACCTTCAGCGGTGGAACATCTCTCCCCATCTCTCGCTACATCTCTCTGGGCTGCTTCATTTTAATTTCCCCCCACCCTGAGGTCTGAGTGATGTGTGTCGAGTTATTTTTTTGAATAAGTGTTCTGAACTGCTTCCCGGGTGCTGTTCCAGCGCTAAGCAGGAGTCAGGGTATCTGGGGACTTGTCTGCTCCTTCCAGCCAGAGCAGATGACTCACTGGAGGATGAAGGCTGCCTGTAGACCCTTCCTATCTCTCAAGGCAGGTCGTGGGCAGGGTGGGCAGTTTGCCTGCGTGGGGGTGACACTCGGTTCTGGTCAGCCTGCAGGGACTGAGGTTGTGTCTCCTGGGGAGCACAACCCAGCATGGGCTCACTCGTGCGTGGTTGGGGAGGATGGTGTGGGACCCGTGGAGAAGACCACGGGAGCAGCTCTGTATTGATCCAGTGTCACTGATACATTCCTCTGGCAGAGTTCCTAAACCTGCTGTACCCAATGCAGTTGTGCTTGCCTTACAGTGCAGTTTTAAGGCCTAATTGATATTTTTGATGTGCTCTCTGGTTCCCGCTCACAGCTGCAATTTGCACATCCTGTAGATGTCTTCCAGAACACGTTGGCAGGCAAACATCTGGAAAGTCAATTACTTCAATCTTTGTTTTTTTTTTTTTTTTCTCTTTAGATGACAATCAAAACAAAACCAATGAAAAGAAAGAGAAAAAAATGGTTTCTCAGAAGCCCCAGGGCACCGTTGAATACACTGTGAGTAGCGGGGTGTGCTTCGGTGGTGGTGGTGGTGTTCTGCCACGGTGGTGGTGGTGTTCTGCCATGGGGCTGCTGAGGTCGGGAGGGAGCCGGTGGCCAGGGCTGCGGGGGCTCAGTGACCACGGGCTGTGGTGTGTGCCCATCTCGGTGGGGATTGCTCCCGTACCACCCCGTGGGTGGGTGGAGGTGGGCTCGTGTCCCAAGCTCAGCCCCGCTCCCCTGCCTCCTGTTCCCAGGAGCTGCCAGTCCTGTTCTCACCGTGGCTCCGGGGCTCTTTAGTGGTTTTGTTATTTTGTTTTAGTTATTTTGAAGAACACTTCCATTCCCTGGTGCTGCCCAAGCCGTGGGGTGGATGCCCTGTGCTGGCTCCTGAGGCGCTGTGGCACCTGCTGGGGCCGGAGCAGGGTGGCCCTGAGCCGTGGAGGCCACTCAGCGCTGCTCAGGCCCTCCCTCCATCACCGGGAGCCATCACGGGGGCCACTGTCCCGGCTGGGAGCAGCACAGACCCCCGACCCATGGCCACTGCCAAAGGTGCAACCACCTTCCCCAGGAGCCAGAGCGGCTGCAGCGAGGCGCTGCTGCTGCCAAGTTTCATGAGGAAGGGAGAGGGGCATCTCTGAGGCTCTCCATTTGGTCTGTTACACAGTCTGGGAGAACAGGCCTTCTTGCCACTGGCTCATCACGTCAGCTGCTGAGCAGAGGGTGTGCTGAGACCATCACACCTGCCCCCCGCCAACAGCGGGTGGGGTGGCTGTGGGTCAGGGGGTGTGCTCGGTGTGTTCACTCGGGTACCCTAACCCTCGGCTCTCTCCAGGCTGGGAACCAGGACACCATAAACAGCATCGCGCTGAAGTTCAACATCACCCCAAACAAGCTGGTGGAGCTCAATAAGCTTTTCACACAGACCATTGTGCCAGGCCAGGTAAATGGTTCATGGGGGGGTTTATACCTGAAACCTGATTATTTGCTAAGTATTTAAAAGCTTTTTACTACTTTCCCGTATCTTTTAGGTACTTGGATACAAGGATAAAGGGCAGTAATTTAAATCCCTCAGAGGAGGACTCACTAGATCCTTAACTGGAGTTGCAGGGGGAGCTTTGTAATTGCCATATCTGACTTGGGTTATTTATTTGCTGTCACTAAAGCTTAAAGATGACTCCGATGCTGAAGAGGGTGATGTAGCTGTTGCAAAAGAGTTGAATTTTTAGGAAGCCTGGATAAATGCTATGTATAATACATTAAAGAATTAGAGAGTTAAATACAGTAATTGAAATGGCTCTTTGCCATTGCTTGGGGATGAGTCAGTCTCCTGTAAGATGAGAAATAAATGGAGAGAGACTGGTTTTGGGAGAGTAAGTAATGGCAATGCAAGAGTGAAGGCTGGCTCCTGAAGGGCAGATCTTTACTTCTGCTTCACAGGCAGGAACAGAGTGAAGTCTCCTGACGTGCAGGTGGGGAAACTGAGGCACAAAGAGGCGGTGTGACTTGCACAAGGACACCCAGCAGATAGCAGCTGGGATCAGCAAAATGGTTTTATTTTGCTGAACACTTTAGTTTAAACTGTAAACATTGTCTTAACTTTCAAAGTGTCTTTGCTGTGACACTTGCAACAAGGGCTCTGTGTTTCTGTTTGGGGTGGAGCCCAAAGCTGGTTCATATAAAGAATACTTTCTTAAATGTGGAGGTACAGGTATGTTTTTGGAAACAACCTACAGCAAGGTGTTACACAAGGTGTTACAGGCTTCTGCCTCTAAAAATCCCCCTCTTCAGCAGCAACCTTCTCCTGGGGCCAGAGTTTGCTGTTACAAGTTAATGCCTGTTAAGAGTCATGCTGTAGTTGTGATAGCTGCAAGACAACCTGGGGCTGTAACTTTGGGGGGAAAAAAGGAGGTTCTCATTCTGTGGGAAATGTTTTGTGTCCTGGCCTGTGCCACAAAGCCAGGAGTAGAGCTGGAGGCTGCAGCTGGTGAGACCTCTCTGTGCCCCCATCACCGCCTCTGCAGAAGGACTCTGGAATAAGTCGTGGCTGAGGAGCTCATTGCAGTCAAGTGGTGGGTGGTGGGTTGTCTTTCTGGTGGAAGGCGGTGTTTGTAGTGAGGAAGTTCCTAAAGCTGTGTTTGTGTTTAGATCCTGTTCGTGCCAGAGGCGAGTGCTGCCAGGCTGTCGTCGGCCAGTCCCGGGGCTCCCGTCTCTCCCTCCTCTTCAGATGCCGAATACGATAAACTCCCTGTAAGTCAGCCCTTGGGGGGCTCCTCGCACTATCTCTGATCCTGATGCTGAGATTCGGGGCTGTGGAAGCAGCAGGTCGAAATCCCGTTTGCTGACTTGCCTTGGCAGTTGTTAATTTCTTGCCTGTTGTTTGTATTGAGGCTTTTTGTAATGCTGGGAGGTTTTTCCTCCATGGTGGATACTGTGTGGGGTGTGTGCACCTACACACGTGGCCACCGCTTTTCCTTCCTTGAGCAAAAGGAAGAACTGGGTGAACCTGGTCTTTCAGCTGCCCAAAATCTGAAAGCGTATGATTCTGGTTCTGTTGCTCTGCACTGAACTTTCCTTTTTTTAAGGATGCTGACTTGGCAAGAAAGGCCTTCAAGCCAGTTGAGAGAGTCCTGTCCTCTACTTCAGAAGAGGATGAGCCTGTGGTTGTCAAATTTTTAAAGATGAATTGCCGTTACTTCACAGATGGCAAGGTAAGGTGAGACCTGGCTTCAGGGCATCGTTTGGGATTCTTTAAAAGCCAAATCTGTTTGGAGAAGTGGGAGACAATACCGCGGGAGTCAAATGTGCTCCCTGTTTGTTAAGAGTGTCATTGTTATGTAGCTTTATCTGTCCCTGCTGTGCATTGGTACCCTGGTAATATGCTGTATCACTTTGTTCTTTTGATCGTTTAATCTGTTATGATAATTGCTTTAGGAAAGAATAGCTTTTCTGTTAAGGGCACCTGGAAACCAAAATGTTTTGTCAGCAGACGTTGCGTGGCGAGGTTATAGGGAGGCAGGAGAGAGGTTTTTATTTTTAGGATAGTAACCTAAAATCCAATACTGAGTAATTGAATTAATGCGATGTGCTAACTCTTCCTTTGCCTGTTGCAGGGCGTAGTTGGAGGAGTCATGATAGTAACCCCCAACAACATCATGTTTGACCCACATAAGTCAGACCCTCTGGTGATCGAGAACGGTTGTGAGGAGTACGGGCTCATCTGCCCCATGGAGGAGGTCGTCTCAATAGCCCTCTACAACGACATCTCCCACATGAAGATTAAAGACGCGTTGCCATCGTAAGGAGTGTTCTTCCCTGAGCCTATCGTACAGACCTTCATAGGGGTCATGGAGGAGGAGGTGGGGGGTGGTGGAATGGAGGGGAAGAGCTTTAATGCAGCAGGATAAAACAGACCAGGGGAGAAAGGAGCCAGCAAAGGAACAATTCCCTTGTGGTAATGTTCTGCTTACTTTTTAGAACACGTCAGTGGCAGTAAAGAGAAATGGGTCATAAATACGAGGAGCAAAATGCAGAGGAGTAGTTGGAAGCTCTGTGCCATGCGTGGCTGGGCTCCTGCACTGGCTCCTCTCTGGGGTCATTTCAGTGGGAGTGAAGAGGGTGAGATTTGGAGCATTTGTTGTGGTACCAGGACTGTTCTGAGAGCAGTATCTCAAACCTCTAAAATGAACAGCATCTTAACTGCTGTCTTCAGGATGTCCGGAAATACCAGCTGTGGAATCCTCCCACTTCAGAACCAGAAACACCTCAATAATTATCATATATGATACCTAATAGACCTTCTGGGGGGGCAGCTTTCCTTTGTGCACAGTCCAGGCGCTGCTTATGTGTCTGTTCTAAGCAGGGTTTTGTCCTGTTTGATGGGTGAAATTCATCCACTTCCCTCTGTTTTCTCATTTCAAGAAAAACTTTTCAAATGTTTGTTATACTCATTGCTAGAGCATCGAGTAACTTAGGAACTTTCAGGTGATGAGAAGCTCGTGTTCTCATTCACCTCGGGCTTTCCAGCAGCAGAGAAGAGCTCAAGTTGTATGCTCTTTGTGAGAATTTTCCATTTTGAAATGGTCTATGATTGTCTGGCCTTAAAAAGATATCTTTGGGGAAGTCTGCATTCAGGCAGTACATTTGATTGGTGGAGGAAAATAAAAGGGAAAAAAAGCAAAACCCAAGCAGCTGCGTTGCCTGCTAGTGCTCTGCAGGAATTGTGTTGGAACAGGGTACAGCTTATCTCCAGCCACCTTTCTTCTCAAAAATGTGTCTGCGCGGGCCAGAGCAGCACGGAGGGTTATAGAGGTTGAGTCGTCGTCAGGTGTGGGAAATAACAATGTCAATATGAATGAAATTCCAGCAGCTGAACTCACCTCCTGTGGTTTTATGGTTGCAGAACTTGTGATGACTTGCACATTGTTATTCCACGTGATGTTATTACCATTTCTTCACCCATGTGGCGTATTCTGCCAAGTGGTTTGCTCATTTTATTTCAGTATTATCCTTTCCCCATTTTTCTCCATTTTCTTTAAAGTCACTTACTTCCACTGATGTATGTTTATTTTGGAGAAGGTAATTTTTCATTGAGTTTCAGAGCTTAAGTTAAGTTGGTATATGATTTATTTTTTATTTGCCGTTTGTTTGGTTTTTTTTCTGTTTCCATTTTGCTTTTAACATCCCGTGTACATCCATCATTTTCCCTGACAGTGACATACCAAAGGATCTTTGTCCTCTGTACAGGCCAGGAGAATGGGAAGACCTGTCCTCAGAGAAAGATATCAATCCTTTCAGCAAGTTCAAATCCCTCAGCAAGGAAAAGAGGCAGCAGAATGGGGATTCCTCCGTTGCTCCAGGTGCCAAACAGATAAAGCCCTCCAATAAGGAAAAGTCTGCTGATTTTGAAGGTCTTCAGTCGTCTAAGAGCACAGGCTCCATCAAGTCAAAGTCTCTGGACCTTCCCAACAACATCACTGCCACTGAACACTTGGAAAAGTTTGCCACGGATCCCTGTGCAAAGGAGCCTGCTGTGGAAAAAAATGCTGCAGACATTAAAACCAAAGAAAAATCCCTTTTGGGGGAAGGAGAGGATGGCTTCATTGAGCTGGAAAAGACGTCATCTCATATAGACAAAGGGTTGGACAGGAAAATCTCAGTAATGGAAGGCTTGCTGGCTGGCCCCAGGGAGCTGGGGAGGAGGAGGCAGCAGGTAACCAAACCCACTCCAGAAGGCCAGGAGCGCTTGAGAGTTGATTCCTTGGAAAAAAAGGACAGTGTTGAACCTAAAGCTGACTTAGACTTAGAACTGTGTGAAAAGCAAGATGTTATTCCAGAAGTAAACAAATGTGTCAGTTCCCCAACAGGTAAGGTGGAGACTGCACTGGACACTAAGAAAGAGCTAGAGAAAGATAAACTTATTGAATTTTACCTCAATAAAGATGGGAATGGGTCTCAGTCATCTGAAGACTTACACAAGGCTGAAATCCAGAAAGGTGAAAACAATAAAGCAATGGGTATAGACCTTACACTTAGCTGTTCCCAGCCCCCAGCTAATGAAGTCCATACGGTTACAAGTATGGAGCTTGGTTCCTGCTGCGTTGGAAGGAGAGCACCTTCATTAGAAATCAGCTCAGCAGCAGCAAAGGAAAAGGATCTGGAAGAGTCTGTGGACTCTTCGTTAGTACCAGCTATAGACAAGACCTGTCAAGAAGCACAGTTAGACAATCAATCAGAAATCAGACTGTGGCTGCTGCAGAAAATTCAAGTGCCAATTGAAGGTAGGTCTCTGGTTATCCTCCTTCCCTCTGGGACTGGGACAGCGTTGTGATGGTAACCTCTGAACTGATAGCCTACTGCTCTAGAGTGCCTCTTTCTAGAATACCTAGTCTTTTTTTTTAATTCTCCAACATTGTATTTTCATATTATTTGCCATTTAGAAGAAAAAAATGCCTTCGAGTTCCCTAAGCTTGTAGTTTGATAAGTAGCTTGTGTGCTGTGTCTGTGGTCAATGCTCACTGTTTATATAGTCTTCACCTCTGTTTGCTGGCTTCAAGGACAGTGAAACGCCATCCCGTTGCAGTGGTGGCAGGGACATGTCATGGCCGAGGAGTTGTCACTCCATCCTTACCTCTAAGCACTCGTGTGTCCTGCAGCAGGGCTGCTCCTCTCCGGGACACGGAATCAGCCAGTGGATGTACCCTTGGCTTGTGTGTGTGTGTTGGGGGGGATGATTAGAGTGGAAGTCTTTATTTTAAAAATAGTTGCTCTTAAAATGATTTTGCCTTTCTTTTGGAAGGGTTTAGATTTCACTAGTTCGTGTGTCCTGCAGCAGGGCTGCTCCTCTCTGGGACATGGAATCAGCCGGTGGATGTACCCTTGGCTTGTGTGTGTGCGGGGGGGATGATTAGAGTGGAAGTCTTTCTTTTAAAAATAGTTGCTCTTACAATGATTTTTCCTTTCTTTTGGAAGGGTTTACATCTCACTAGCGGTATTTGGTGATTGTTCTCATTGGGAGAGGAAAAAAAGAAGGGGTGGCTGTATGTGTACTCCTGAAATGGATAAGGCACCTTTGGTGGGACTGAGGCTGCAGTTTAGTGTGGGTTTTTCTGCACTAGCATTTTAAGGAACTTAAACTGCTCTACACTTGAGCCTGTTGGTTGCAGCCCAGAGGTGTGTGTATGGCTGTCAGAGTCGGGGAGCTGTGTGTGTGTGTGCAAAAGCCGTGTGGCTGTTGGATGCCGTGGTGTTCACTGCTGTGTGTGTCTCCCTGTGCAGAAAGGCATTACTCCCAGCTGCAGTGGCCGTGCTCCCCTCTCAGCAGCCCCTTTCTTTTGTCTCTCGCCCAGACATGCTTCCTTCCAAAGAAGAGAAGAGCAAGACTCCTCCCATGTTCCTGTGCATCAAGGTGGGCAAGCCCATGAGGAAGTCCTTCGCCTCCCAGAGCACCGCCGTGTCCCAGCAGTACAGCAAAAAGATCAAGCAGCCTGAGTATTGGTTTGCAGTTCCCCGGGAAAGGTGAGCTGCAGCACAGGCTGTGGAAATGTGCTTGGTGGTTGGCTTTCCTTAACGTCTGGTGCTTTCTGGACCTGAATCTGCCTTTCCCCGTGCGGCCCGGGCTGTGAACCGCAGCCCGGATGCCAAGATGAGGGGAGCCCTGGTTTCCTCGTGTGCCAGGGAGACAGAGCAGTGTTTGTTTGCAGTTCCCCGGGAAAGGTGAGCTGCATGTTTGGTGGTTGGCTTTCCTTAACGTCTGGTGCTTTCTGGACCTGAATCTGCCTTTCCCCGTGCGGCCCGGGCTGTGAACCGCAGCCCGGATGCCAAGATGAGGGGAGCCCTGGTTTCCTCGTGTGCCAGGGAGACAGAGCAGTGTTTGGTGCTGGTCTCAGACGGGTCCTGGGAAAAGGGATCGGGTGCCACTTGGGAGATGAGAAGAGGGGTAACACAGGATAAAAGCACTGGGGATGGGCTGGACTTTGGCCATAGTCTGGGAAGTGAGGGAAAGGGGACAGAGGCAGGAGAGATGAGGAACCCACTGAGGTGCCGGTGCTAAAAACCAGGTGTTTGAGATGAGCAAAGGGCACGATGTGGGAGAGGGAAGGACTCTGCCTGAATGCTGCGGCCCCTCGGGCCCCCAAAAACAACCCTTCCTTTGTGATAAAACCCCTTAATGTTTGGTGTGCCTGTAGGGGGGTGTGTGCTTAAATGGATTCCTTGGAAAAAAAGGACAGTGTTGAACCTAAAGCTGACTTAGACTTAGAACTGTGTGAAAAGCAAGATGTTATTCCAGAAGTAAACAAATGTGTCAGTTCCCCAACAGGTAAGGTGGAGACTGCACTGGACACTAAGAAAGAGCTAGAGAAAGATAAACTTATTGAATTTTACCTCAATAAAGATGGGAATGGGTCTCAGTCATCTGAAGACTTACACAAGGCTGAAATCCAGAAAGGTGAAAACAATAAAGCAATGGGTATAGACCTTACACTTAGCTGTTCCCAGCCCCCAGCTAATGAAGTCCATACGGTTACAAGTATGGAGCTTGGTTCCTGCTGCGTTGGAAGGAGAGCACCTTCATTAGAAATCAGCTCAGCAGCAGCAAAGGAAAAGGATCTGGAAGAGTCTGTGGACTCTTCGTTAGTACCAGCTATAGACAAGACCTGTCAAGAAGCACAGTTAGACAATCAATCAGAAATCAGACTGTGGCTGCTGCAGAAAATTCAAGTGCCAATTGAAGGTAGGTCTCTGGTTATCCTCCTTCCCTCTGGGACTGGGACAGCGTTGTGATGGTAACCTCTGAACTGATAGCCTACTGCTCTAGAGTGCCTCTTTCTAGAATACCTAGTCTTTTTTTTTAATTCTCCAACATTGTATTTTCATATTATTTGCCATTTAGAAGAAAAAAATGCCTTCGAGTTCCCTAAGCTTGTAGTTTGATAAGTAGCTTGTGTGCTGTGTCTGTGGTCAATGCTCACTGTTTATATAGTCTTCACCTCTGTTTGCTGGCTTCAAGGACAGTGAAACGCCATCCCGTTGCAGTGGTGGCAGGGACATGTCATGGCCGAGGAGTTGTCACTCCATCCTTACCTCTAAGCACTCGTGTGTCCTGCAGCAGGGCTGCTCCTCTCCGGGACACGGAATCAGCCAGTGGATGTACCCTTGGCTTGTGTGTGTGTGTTGGGGGGGATGATTAGAGTGGAAGTCTTTATTTTAAAAATAGTTGCTCTTAAAATGATTTTGCCTTTCTTTTGGAAGGGTTTAGATTTCACTAGTGGTATTTGGTGATTGTTCTCATTGGGAGAGGAAAAAAAGAAGGGGTGGCTGTATGTGTACTCCTGAAATGGATAAGGCACCTTTGGTGGGACTGAGGCTGCAGTTTAGTGTGGGTTTTTCTGCACTAGCATTTTAAGGAACTTAAACTGCTCTACACTTGAGCCTGTTGGTTGCAGCCCAGAGGTGTGTGTATGGCTGTCAGAGTCGGGGAGCTGTGTGTGTGTGTGCAAAAGCCGTGTGGCTGTTGGATGCCGTGGTGTTCACTGCTGTGTGTGTCTCCCTGTGCAGAAAGGCATTACTCCCAGCTGCAGTGGCCGTGCTCCCCTCTCAGCAGCCCCTTTCTTTTGTCTCTCGCCCAGACATGCTTCCTTCCAAAGAAGAGAAGAGCAAGACTCCTCCCATGTTCCTGTGCATCAAGGTGGGCAAGCCCATGAGGAAGTCCTTCGCCTCCCAGAGCACCGCCGTGTCCCAGCAGTACAGCAAAAAGATCAAGCAGCCTGAGTATTGGTTTGCAGTTCCCCGGGAAAGGTGAGCTGCAGCACAGGCTGTGGAAATGTGCTTGGTGGTTGGCTTTCCTTAACGTCTGGTGCTTTCTGGACCTGAATCTGCCTTTCCCCGTGCGGCCCGGGCTGTGAACCGCAGCCCGGATGCCAAGATGAGGGGAGCCCTGGTTTCCTCGTGTGCCAGGGAGACAGAGCAGTGTTTGGTGCTGGTCTCAGACGGGTCCTGGGAAAAGGGATCGGGTGCCACTTGGGAGATGAGAAGAGGGGTAACACAGGATAAAAGCACTGGGGATGGGCTGGACTTTGGCCATAGTCTGGGAAGTGAGGGAAAGGGGACAGAGGCAGGAGAGATGAGGAACCCACTGAGGTGCCGGTGCTAAAAACCAGGTGTTTGAGATGAGCAAAGGGCACGATGTGGGAGAGGGAAGGACTCTGCCTGAATGCTGCGGCCCCTCGGGCCCCCAAAAACAACCCTTCCTTTGTGATAAAACCCCTTAATGTTTGGTGTGCCTGTAGGGGGGTGTGTGCTTAAATGGTACTATGGCAAAAACCAAAACTAAACAAAAGGTGAAGGCCTGTGATTTTCCACATAAACCACCCAAGAATTTTCCCCGGCTGTGAGGAATGGAATCCCTGTTCCTTTTGCTGGAAGGCAGCTGGAGAGCTCTCCAGTCTGTCAAGGAGCTGGAACAGGAAAATCAGGGACGACTCTTCTGGTGAGTTGGGTACCGGGGAGGAAGGATCTAAGCTGGTGATGAATTCTGGAGGTGTCCCTCTAAGGTGCAGTCGGCCTTTTTTCTGTTTTCAAATAAGGTACTATGGCAAAAACCAAAACTAAACAAAAGGTGAAGGCCTGTGATTTTCCACATAAACCACCCAAGAATTTTCCCCGGCTGTGAGGAATGGAATCCCTGTTCCTTTTGCTGGAAGGCAGCTGGAGAGCTCTCCAGTCTGTCAAGGAGCTGGAACAGGAAAATCAGGGACGACTCTTCTGGTGAGTTGGGTACCGGGGAGGAAGGATCTAAGCTGGTGATGAATTCTGGAGGTGTCCCTCTAAGGTGCAGTCGGCCTTTTTTCTGTTTTTAAATAATTTTTCAGTATTTTTTTATTTTCAGATTTGTAGCATGTGTATTGCTTTAAGTGTTTATTTCTTGTACTGTAGAAGTGAGTGTTTTGGGAAGCCCAGTGGCGTGGAAGCTGCTGCCCCAGGGGATGTGGGGAGAGGTTTGATCAGGCTGGAAGGTGGGGAGCAGCTGGAGGGGGTCTGGGCTGCTTGCTGCCTGCATCCCTGGCTCCCCGGGGGCTGCCAAAGGGCAGGCTCGGGCAATCCTAGGCTAAAGTGTAGGTAAACTGTAGAAGGAGCTGGGTGATGCTGTAACACCACACGAGGTCAGTTGCTGCCGTGGGGGCAGTGGATCTGAGGATGGATAAAGCCCTGAGCTGAGCCGAGGCCCTCTCTGATCCTTGCTCTGTGCAATGGGGCAATCTGAGCAGCTGCGTTCTGCAGGCTTGGGAAACAGCCCCTCTGTTTGTCCTGTTCTCAGCAGGGAGGGGACCTGACCCCTCTCTAAACCCAGGTGTTGACAACTCATTTATTCTCCCGTTGTCAGAGGGAGGAAGGAGCAGCAGTTTCTGACGGCCAGGTCTCTGCTCCCAGGCTGTGGGGCAGCTCTCAAAATTAACGGGGATTGTAGTGTGAGATCAGGTCATTTTGGTGCCATTCACACCTGATTTAACACCACAGAGGTGTGTAAAAGGTCCTGTAGAACTTGGGCAGAAGTTTGATGTGAGACCCACTCCTTTGCATTGGAGCAAGACGTGTGTGTCTCACAAGTCTCTGTGTGCTCCAAACTCTCCCATGCTTTCCCACAGCATCGTTCCTACCCACTGGTGACATTCCTGCCCTGGCGGGGCGTAGGATGGAATTACCAGGGTTGGATCTTGGAAGTGCCACAGACAGCAGGTCATATGGGGCAGCTTTGCAGTGTATTTTTGTCACAACATATCAAAATAACTTGGGAAATTTAAAAACATTTGGAATGCAATCTATATTTATGCATGAAAACATCAAGAATCCCACTCTCATCTCATTGGCCAAAAAGCAGCATAAATAAAACCCTTTCTGTCCCGTGCGGTCACAGGAGCTTCTGCAGCACCTTAATGTTTCGTGGTGATTAAAAAACCCCACTGAAACAAACAAACTAACCCTGGATTGCGATGGTGAAGAAATGGGTGTGTGTGTCTGTAACCACCGTGTGAGCTGAATCTCCCTCTCTTTGCGTGGAGTTAATTTTCCCCTGGTGTCTCAGCGTTTGCTGTGGAAGTGGCTCCCTTCCAGCCCGGGCCTGTAGCCCCCGGCTCGCCCTCCTGGGGCAGGGGAGCTGTGCTGAGGGGACACCAGATGGTCTTAATGCTGAGAAGGTGAATTTGGGTGTTTTTACTGGCAGTCTGTGGATATGAATGCAGAGAGAAGGCTGAGGCTGCTGCTCTGTGCCAAGGATGTTGGGGAGCCTGAGGGGCCAGTTGCCCCTGCAGCTGCCGTCACCCCGGCAGGACCGGGTTAATTAGTGACCGCGCTAATCAGCTGCAGGCATGGCGTGGTGGGGGTGCTGGCCCTGAGGAGGGGCGGGGGGATGGACATCTCCAGAGGTCCTGCGGGATGGTGCAGGGGACTGTCAGGGGCCAGCTCTCCCCGGGAGCCCTGCCATGGGCACGGCGTGCAGCCACAGAGGGTGAGTCTGTGCCCGCGCGCGCTGCGGGGGGACCTTGCCCAGGTGTGTAGGTTTTCCACCCGGGGGGTTGTGAGGAGTAGGTCAGTGGTGAAGTCACGGGTCGCCTCGGGATCTGGCAGAGGACGGTGGGACAGAGTGATGCGGAATTTCCTTGTTTATAAACACGTGTCTGAACAAGTGATTTCCTCATTTTAGCATTGCCTAGTTCTTCAGTCAAGAAGTAGATCTCCCTGATGATCTGTGCTATAACTTTGGCAGATGGGCTGGGTTTGGGAATGTCATTTGTGTTGGTGTTGATGAAAAGAGCATTGCTCTGAGATGCTGCATCTGCTTTTTTGGAGGTCTCTTTTGTGGGACCAGGCAGATTTTCAAGGAGGAAAAGGGGTTGAGCCTCGCTTCTCTTTCTCAGTTGTAGCTTCCTGCCCCATTAGGGTTTGGGTGTTGTTGTTGTTTTTTTTTTTGGTTTGTTTTGGCAAGTTGGGAGAGTTTTGGTTTGGTTTTTGCTACCGTTTCTGTGGGGTTTCCTTTTGTGGAGCAGGATGTTGCTCAGCCGTGACTCACGTTACTCTCTGGTGTGCGGTACCCTGCAGTTAGAGCCGTTGATGCTGAGACCTGGAAAAACTTGCAGCACAACCAGCTGGAGCCAGCACCTACGGGATGCTGCCGTGCACTTACACGGGGCTTTGCCCAAAGGGGGGATGATGAAGATGGTTCTGATGCTGAAGGGTCACTCTCCCGTGCTTCTGTTAATGGAGCAGAACAGGCAGCTTAAAGCTTAAATCTGGACTCCTTTTGAAGTACAAATAGAGAACTCCTGGGAAATAAGATATCAAACTATTCAGATGAAACCTATGGAAACCTGTCTGTATCCACAGCTTAATGTCTTAGAATGAGGGCTCATCTAAGTTTCTATAGGTTCATACGAGGGCTTTCAGTACCTTAGCCTTCATAAGATTCATGAAGGATCATCCTCACTGTCTCATCAGGCGTGTTTGGAACAGAGTGGTAGGACCCCTGGATGAACTCCCATTTCTAGGCCAGGAGCTGTGGCTGGAGGTAGAGCTGTTGTAGCTGTGTCACAGGGTGCACAAACCCTCTTCCACCCAAACACACAGGTTTGAAATAGCCCCCTCCCATCTCTCACCCACTTGAGGACGCTGATTTGTGGAAAACTGGTTGGCCTCTGCCCTCAAAGATGTCAGATATTGTTGCTGTGTCAGCAGATGTGTTGGTGGTGATGCCAGTTTGGGACCTCCTAAATGAAAGGATCTCTCTTAGAAGAAAAATAATTTATGGTTCCCCCTCAAGAATCAGCTGTAACTTCACAAGCTGCCTGGTCTTTGTTTTACTGGTGGTTGCCTTTGCTCTTTTTCAGTGCACTGTGCACCTACTTGAATGTTTCTGCCTTCTGGTCCCTGGTTGTGGTGGTGCCTGTGTTACCAGGACTCAGTTTCTCGGCGTAGGCAGTCCCAGGGTATGGCTCCTGGAAGCCAAATGGCTCCCTTTGCCCCTGGCTGTGGGGCCGTTGGTTTGGTGTCTTGGGAAGGGGGTGCTGGAGATGGGCCGAGTGTTCCAGCGGTGGTCACCTGGAGCCATAGGAGGAGGAGGAAGGGTTTGACACTGAAAGAGGAGAGATTGAGGTGAGATGTGGAGAAGAACTTCTTTGGTGTGAGGGTGGTGAGAGCCTGGCCCAGGTTGCCCAGAGAAGCTGTGGCTGCCCCATCCCTGGAGGGGTTCAAGGGCAGGTTGGAGGGGGCTTGGAGCAACCTGGTGTGGTGGGAGATGTCCCTGCCCAGGGCAGGGGGTGGCACTGGGGGGGCTTTAAGGTCCCTTCCAACTCTAACCATTCTGTGATTCTTTGATTCTATGTTTTGTGTTCTCCAAAATTAGTTTTCTACTGAATTTATATTTACTATAAACTTCCCTTCTTACAGTTGTGCCCTCTGTGTGTGTGTTACTGGGAAGACATTTCTCAGCAAATTCACTTTCCTTTTCATCTCGCTACAGCCTGGGGGGAGTGCCCCCTCTTTAATCAGTGCTCTGCCTTTCATTTTTGATTTGTGTCTCCTAGTTGTTTTTTATTAAAAAGAAAAAAAAAATAGTTTTCCATTACCATCTTTTCCTTCTGAATAGTTTATTTCTTGAGCGATTAACTTCATGTTTCTTAAGTTGTTCCTTTCCAGTTATTTGATGTTTTACTGACGTTTCTCTGTCAGTGCAGGACACACTCACAAGCGCGTGATCACCAACACAGCTACTGAGTTCCAGGGTAGGTTCCCTCACAGCTGTCAAGTTGGCTCTAAAGGTGTTCCTCAAGCAGTGGTTTTCTGATTTACAAATGGTCTCCAGTTTTTTCAGTTTGGCAGCTTGGAAATAGCCAGCAGTAATTCTATTACCAGAGAAGGGATGGATGCTCTGCGTCCCCTTCCAGAATGACCTCACTTCTGCAGTCACCTGCTTCTCCTCTGCTGCTGCTGCTTAAATCTGGCACGTCTGGATTTATTTAGCATGTGTCCGTGGCAGAGGAAAACTTAGTTACGGACCACTTAAATACCCTGAGCACACACAGGTCTGTGGGGGCTGACAGGAAATACTCGGGGTGTGCTGAGGAGGCTGTTAGTGTTCCTACAGGGCTGCTTTCTGTCAGCCTCTAGGAGGTGGTGGGCATCGGGAGAGGTCCTTGTAACTGGGAAAACAAGTCCCGCAGCCGTCTGCGGGAATAGGGTCTGTGGGAGCACCGCTGGGTCCCTCCTTCTCTCTGAGGGGACTGGGAGCTGTGTCCAAGTGTCTTGAGGCCGAAGTGAGTGGGGTCCCTCGGAATGCCTGGCTGTGGCTGGGAATGAGCTGGGCTGAGCGGGAACCTCCGGGCAGTCAGTCTGTGCCTCAGAGCTGACACCAGGCTCCAGCCCTCGCTGGCAGGACAAAAAACGGAGACGTGATCGGAAAAATCTCTGGAATTTTACTAGTGACCCTGAACAGAGTCCAACAGCGCTGAAATGGGGTTTTAAGACTATTTGTGCATATGTATAAATCCAAGAAACTGGAAATGATATGGGGAAAATGTCTTAATTTCTGTAAGATTTTTCCTGGTTTGTACCGCTGGAGGAATTGCCAGACAAAACTAAAAGGAGCTATTGCCTGGTGTGGTGCCTGAGGGTGAAAGGACACAGGTGTCCTACTGCTGTGGCTGTCCCTTCCTCCTCACTGGGCAGAACCTCATGGCAGCGCTGTGTTCATGGACCTCTCCACAACAGTTGTCGTCTCCTCTTGTGTTTCCAGGGTGGATCACCTGTACACGTTCTTTGTTCAGTGGTCGCCAGAAATATATGGGAAAGATGCCAAAGAGCAAGGTTTTGTGGTGGTAGAAAAGGAGGAGCTGGACATGATAGACAACTTCTTCAGTGAGCCCACTACCAAGAGCTGGGAGGTGAGTGCCTTCTGCTGCTGTGAGCACCCGTGGATCCAGTGGGCAACCCCTGCTGGAGTCTCAGCACTTCCTCTTCTCACGATTTTCACAGTGTTTCTTTATAACGCTGCTTCGTACGGGTGTCTGCTCGCGGCTCGTGTCTGTCTCACGAGTGTCCTCGAGTCCTTCAGCCCCCTTTCTCCTCTCCCAGAAGGAGCAGTGGTTGCTGTGGGCTGTGCGGCAGCAGGAGCTGGGTCCTTGGTTTGGGGCTGTGGTGTCACCCTGTGCAGAGCTGCACGGGTGGATGTGGTCAGCGTGGCTGAGTCCGTGCTGTGTTCCTGTCTTACACCTAAAACCTCCATGTGTGTGCAGACAGACACCACCAGAGCCTCCCGAGCTGCTGGCGTGGGGTGTTGTGCCCAGCCTGGGGCTCTCAGTGCACACAGCAGTTCTGGCTGGATGTGGGGTGTCAGAGGGAGGGGGTTTAGACCAGGACTTCAGCTTTGCCTCTGGGGGCTTTTGGAATCCATTTGAACCACAGATGACACATTCGAGCTGGGAGGTGAGTGCCTTCTGCCGCTGTGAGCACCCGTGGATCCAGTGGGCAACCCCTGCTGGAGTCTCAGCACTTCCTCTTCTCACGATTTTCATGGTGTTTCTATATAACGCTGCTTTGTACGGATGTCTGCTCATGGCTCATGTCTGTCTCACGAGTGTCCTCGAGTCCTTCAGCCCCCTTTCTCCTCTCCTAGGAGGAGCAGTGGTTGCTGTGGGCTGTGCGGCAGCAGGAGCTGGGTCCTTGGTTTGGGGCTGTGGTGTCACCCTGTGCAGAGCTGCACGGGTGGATGTGGTCAGCGTGGCTGAGTCCGTGCTGTGTTCCTGTCTTACACCTAAAACCTCCATGTGTGTGCAGACAGACACCACCAGAGCCTCCCGAGCTGCTGGCGTGGGGTGTTGTGCCCAGCCTGGGGCTCTCAGTGCACACAGCAGTTCTGGCTGATGTGGGGCGTCAGAGGGAGGGGGTTTAGACCAGGACTTCAGCTTTGCCTCTGGGGGCTTTTGGAGTCTGTTTGAACCACGGATGACACATTATCCTGTGTTTGATACCTGTCTGTCTCTTGAGCACACAAAGCCTAGTTTCTAAGGGAAGTGAGCTCTCACACATTTTCTGATGGTATTTGTGAAGGCTGGAGCACCTGCTGTGCTAAGGATATGGGTTAAATTAAAACACAGATAAATCCCGCAGTGGGAAATACCTTGGAGGGGATTTAAAAAGTGATCTGGTTCTTTGTCTTAAACATAAAATTATCTTAAAAATTCTACTGCCCTCTTCTTTTCTTTTCTTTTTGAAGCATTTCTATCTTCAGAGGAAGTTGTCCTCTTCAAAAGGGGAGCTCAGCAGCGGTGCTTGTCATTTGAAACATGGCACCATCACCTCTAATCCCAGAGAGCTTTGGGTTTTACCGTTTCATAGTTTCTTAACGTTGGTACTTTGTGAGCTGCGAGGGCTGGGGGGGGAAGTGTCCTCATTCCTTGTTCTGCTCAGAGCTGGGTCTAGTCATATCTCACACTAATTTCACTGCTCGGTTGTTATTTGCATGCCATTTTCATAAAAGCAAAATGAATGAGGAGGGCTTCCGAAAAACAGAGGTGGGAGAGACCTGGCCACACCAGGAGCTTGTGTCTCATTGTTTTATTTCAATATGTATTGGGAGGAGAATTAGCTGGGAACGGCTTCTTAAAGGTGTGTCACTTTCATTTGTAGTGTATTCAGGCTTTCCAAACTTAAAGTCGGTCTGCCAGGAAATCTCTGTTGGAAGTCCAAATTTGGGCATGGTTACGGGGAAAGTTTCACTCTCCCTGGTGGGGAAACAGAAAGTGTGGCTGCAGGGAGGTCCATAAGAAGGGTGTCAGCCGGCGGGGTGAGGACCCCTCTGGCTGCCGGGGACGTGGGAGCTGCAGGGGACACCGGGGCCTTGTAACTGGGAAAACAAGTCCCGCAGCCGTCTGCGGGAATAGGGTCTGTGGGAGCACCGCTGGGTCCCTCCTTCTCTCTGAGGGGACTGGGAGCTGTGTCCAAGTGTCTTGAGGCCGAAGTGAGTGGGGTCCCTCGGAATGCCTGGCTGTGGCTGGGAATGAGCTGGGCTGAGCGGGAACCTCCGGGCAGTCAGTCTGTGCCTCAGAGCTGACACCAGGCTCCAGCCCTCGCTGGCAGGACCAAAAACGGAGACGTGATCGGAAAAATCTCTGGAATTTTACTAGTGACCCTGAACAGAGTCCAACAGCGCTGAAATGGGGTTTTAAGACTATTTGTGCATATGTATAAATCCAAGAAACTGGAAATGATATGGGGAAAATGTCTTAATTTCTGTAAGATTTTTCCTGGTTTGTACCGCTGGAGGAATTGCCAGACAAAACTAAAAGGAGCTATTGCCTGGTGTGGTGCCTGAGGGTGAAAGGACACAGGTGTCCTACTGCTGTGGCTGTCCCTTCCTCCTCACTGGGCAGAACCTCATGGCAGCGCTGTGTTCATGGACCTCTCCACAACAGTTGTCGTCTCCTCTTGTGTTTCCAGGGTGGATCACCTGTACACGTTCTTTGTTCAGTGGTCACCAGAAATATATGGGAAAGATGCCAAAGAGCAAGGTTTTGTGGTGGTAGAAAAGGAGGAGCTGGACATGATAGACAACTTCTTCAGTGAGCCCACTACCAAGAGCTGGGAGGTGAGTGCCTTCTGCTGCTGTGAGCACCCGTGGATCCAGTGGGCAACCCCTGCTGGAGTCTCAGCACTTCCTCTTCTCACGATTTTCACAGTGTTTCTTTATAACGCTGCTTCGTACGGGTGTCTGCTCGCGGCTCGTGTCTGTCTCACGAGTGTCCTCGAGTCCTTCAGCCCCCTTTCTCCTCTCCCAGAAGGAGCAGTGGTTGCTGTGGGCTGTGCGGCAGCAGGAGCTGGGTCCTTGGTTTGGGGCTGTGGTGTCACCCTGTGCAGAGCTGCACGGGTGGATGTGGTCAGCGTGGCTGAGTCCGTGCTGTGTTCCTGTCTTACACCTAAAACCTCCATGTGTGTGCAGACAGACACCACCAGAGCCTCCCGAGCTGCTGGCGTGGGGCAGTGTGGGGTGTTGTGCCCAGCCCATGTTCCTGTCTTACACCTAAAACCTCCATGTGTGTGCAGACAGACACCACCAGAGCCTCCCGAGCTGCTGGCGTGGGGTGTTGTGCCCAGCCTGGGGCTCTCAGTGCACACAGCAGTTCTGGCTGGATGTGGGGTGTCAGAGGGAGGGGGTTTAGACCAGGACTTCAGCTTTGCCTCTGGGGGCTTTTGGAATCCATTTGAACCACAGATGACACATTCTCCTGTGTTTGATACCTGTCTGTCTCTTGAGCACACAAAGCCTAGTTTCTAAGTGGAATGAGCTCTCACACATTTTCTGATGGTATTTGTGAAAGCTGGAGCACCTGCTGTGCTAAGGATATGGGTTAAATTAAAACGCAGATAAATCCCACAGTGGGAAATACCTTGGAGGGGATTTAAAAAGTGATCTGGTTCTTTGTCTTAAACATAAAATTATCTTAAAAATTCTACTGCCCTCTTCTTTTCTTTTCTTTTTGAAGCATTTCTATCTTCAGAGGAAGTTGTCCTCTTCAAAAGGGGAGCTCAGCAGCGGTGCTTGTCATTTGAAACATGGCACCATCACCTCTAATCCCAGAGAGCTTTGGGTTTTACCGTTTCATAGTTTAACGTTGGTACTTTGTGAGCTGCGAGGGCTGGGGGGGGAAGTGTCCTCATTCCTTGTTCTGCTCAGAGCTGGGTCTAGTCATATCTCACACTAATTTCACTGCTCGGTTGTTATTTGCATGCCATTTTCATAAAAGCAAAATGAATGAGGAGGGCTTCCGAAAAACAGAGGTGGGAGAGACCTGGCCACACCAGGAGCTTGTGTCTCATTGTTTTATTTCAATATGTATTGGGAGGAGAATTAGCTGGGAACGGCTTCTTAAAGGTGTGTCACTTTCATTTGTAGTGTATTCAGGCTTTCCAAACTTAAAGTCGGTCTGCCAGGAAATCTCTGTTGGAAGTCCAAATTTGGGCATGGTTACGGGGAAAGTTTCACTCTCCCTGGTGGGGAAACAGAAAGTGTGGCTGCAGGGAGGTCCATAAGAAGGGTGTCAGCCGGCGGGGTGAGGACCCCTCTGGCTGCCGGGGACGTGGGAGCTGCAGGGGACACCGGGGCACGCTGGCAGAGGATGAAGGGGAAAAAATTGCCTTTGAATATTCGAATTCTTTACTGTGCCAGACCTGGCCAGGAGGAGCCTTTCGTGGAGGTACGTTGGGCTGTGTCCGTTTGAACAGGGTGGATCTGATACAGAGCTTCTGTCCTGGGGATGAGCTCTAACAGGATATTTCCTCCTCAGGGAGCTCGCTTTCTGCCTCCATAAAATCTGTAAAAGATGTTCTAGATCCCTTTTCTGTAGTGGTTGAGTCTTTTCAGCTGTTCCTGCTTTTGTGGGTCTGTAAATAACCTGACCTTGCAGATCCTGCTTTGCAGCTGTTGACTCTGAAGTTCATTGACACGTGGGCTTGGGTTGCAGGAGAGCAGGTGCCCGCACGCTGCACGGGGGCTCCTCTGTGTCTGGAGTCCATCTGCAATTAGCACCTGCGTTAATAGCTTTGCTGTGGCTGCCCCTGTCTGTGCATTTGGCTGCCTCTTGCTGCAGGTACCTGCTGCTGGCCGATGTACTCTGGTCGCTTTGCCCCCGCTCCTGGGGGGAGACCAGTCCTAGAAAACAGTTTCCAAAGGAGGAATTGGGTACTTCTAACATAAGATTAGAAAGGTGTTCGTTTCACTTAGATAAAAAATATTTTAAAAATAAACAAATAAAATGATGCCCTGGGAGACGTGGAGGGAAGGAAAACTGTTCAGGAGGTGGAAATGGAACGAGGATGAAAGCAGAAAGACCGTTTCCTTTAACAGTTTGTTGGTTTTTTTTTAAATTGATCTTAATTTTTCGGTGCAGACCTTGCCTGAAATGGGCCATATGAGAAGTTTTCCAGCCTAGGATTCCCTCCAGGGCACTGGATCCCCCCGAGCAGGGGTGCAGGGGCTTCTCTTGGCAACTGTCCCCCTTGGCAGGCTCAGGCAGCTCTGGGGGGGTGCGGGGGGGTCCGTGTGTGCCGGGGCAGCCCGTTGGAAGCGGCGTGTGGCAGGGCCTGCTCTGCAGCCACAGCCCCCCTCCTGCCCCGGGATAGGGCCCCTGTGGGGACGCGCTGGGGAGGGAGGGCGGTTCAGGGTTTCCTGGCTGCTTTGTCGCTGGGCCTCCTGGCTTCCCCTTCCCGTGGCCACCAGCCCCCTCCCTGGGCTCCGCACGCAGCTTTCTCCTTGCTGCGGTGGCACCGAGCCCGGCCAAAGCCCTGTTCATGGGGCCAGGGTCTGTCCCCTGTCCCTCGCAGCACCCCGTGGGCTGGGGGGTCCTTTCATGGACAGACGTCGGGTGCGTGGGGTTGAGTCTCCTTTTAGCTTCCAGCTCTCTGGGAGGAGGTCTGTGGCTCACCTGTACCTGCTGAAGAGAAGTCTGTGCTTCATTCTGTCAGTATTTAAATTCAAACCTGATGTTAGAAGTACTTTTTTTTAAAAAAAAAAAAAAGTTGGACTCACCTTTTAAAATATTACCATGTGCTCTCTTTATAGAGCCTTAAGTGAAGGAATATCTAGAAGTTTCCAAAGAGCTGTTTGATCATTTTCAACTAAGAATGTATTCTTTAAAGATCTTGTCTCTTAGAATGAGTATTTTCAAGAACTTACGTTAACTTGATGATGCTCAAAACCTTACTTAGTGCAAGACAGAACTTGGAACTCCCTGTTTGAGCTGATTTACATGTTTATGTCTTGGCTGCATTCACTTGTTTCAGTTTGTGTCCACAAAAGCCTGTCTGTCAGTAAAGAAAACCAGGGAAAAGCTGCTGTTTGATTAAAAAGGAGAAGCGAAATTTTAAACTTTTTCATATTCTCGTGCATTAGCACCCGAGAAAAGAATTAATCACTGCGCTGAGGGAGACCCCGCAGTGCCTGTGCCCCTCACCTCCCATAGGACCCCCAGCTCCGGCGTGGGCACTGCGCCTCGGGATGAGGGGCACATCGGCCTCTGACCCAGGGCTGGGTACACCGAGGCCAGCCTTGGGGTGTCATGGGTGCCCCGTGTCCATGAACCCCAAAGAACTGCAGGCTGTGGGAGGTCACCAGGGTGTGAGGAGATCCTGGTTGTGCTGCCTCAAGACATCTCCCAGCTGAGATGTTCTCCTCCGGTCGCGGCTGCCTGGGCTCGACCCAGCCGTCCCTGTGGTGGGTTGGCTCCACGCAGGGTCACGACTGGGGAGGGGGTGTCCTAAATCCATCTGCTGCAGCAGGGGCTGCCAGCCTGGGAGCTGTGGTTCAGGTTGGACGCTTGTTCTCCTGCCTCAGATCATCACTGTGGAAGAAGCAAAACGGCGGAAGAGCGTTTGCAGTTACTACGAAGAGGAGGATGACGATTCTCTGCCTGTCTTAAAGCATCACAGCGCTCTGCTGGAGAACATGCACATCGAGCAGGTACGGCCAGGAAAGCTCCCGCTCCCCCCCAGCCCTGGCGCTGGCTCTGCCGGGGACACGCTGCCTTCTGCAGGCACCACCAGCTCCTCCTCGGAGCTTGGGAAGAGCTCGGTGTGATGGGGTGTCCCCGTGCCAGGCCCTGTTGGTGCTGCCCCACCTGGGAACCCCGCTTTTGTGTTTGCAGCTCAGTGCAGCCCCGTGGTGCTGAGCTGCTGGCATTTTGTGGCTGTGTAGCCCCTGCAGCAAGGGGACAGTCAGGGCAGCAGCCCTGGCCCACCTGCCGTGTGTGTGACCATTTCTCTCTGTTGGTTGCCCAGCTGGCCCGGCGCTTGCCCGCCCGAGTGCAGGGCTACCCGTGGCGGCTGGCGTACAGCACCCTGGAGCACGGCACCAGCCTCAAGACTCTCTACCGAAAATCAGCGGCTCTCGACAGCCCCGTTCTCCTGGTCATCAAGGACATGGACAACCAGGTGAGGAGCACTTGTCCTGCGGGGGCGGACTGAAGGGACAGCTTTACCAAAAGGGATGACTACGAAGGGCTAGTCATACCATGAAGTGAAGTCACACCGAAACGAGACATTGGGGGTTTCTTTTATATCTTCTGCTGCTTAAAGTAAGCGTAAAGGCAGGAAAGTACATCAGCACTAATGGAAATGCCCCTCCCAAGCTTCCTAATTGCCATGAATGCTCCTTTAATAGTGCCCAGGGCAGTATCTTCCCCGAGTTCTGGGCTGAGAGTGCCCCAGACAGGTTTCTGTAGAGGTCCCGTGCTGCCCCTTGTCCTCCGGCTTCAGCCTGTGGGACACACAATGCTCCTTTAATAGTGCCCAGGGCAGTATCTTCCCCGAGTTCTGGGCTGAGAGTGCCCCAGACAGGTTTCTGTAGAGGTCCCGTGCTGCCCCTTGTCCTCCGGCTCCAGCCTGCAGGACACAGAGGGTTTGCAGGAGCACTTGCCCCTCTGGTGCACCTCACGGGTTGGTTCTTTGAACATGAAACACCAGCTCAGCTGTTCTTTAGAAAGCATCTTGAAATGTTTGGGGTTTTTTCTCTTGAATTAAAGTGGTTTAATCGTGTTATTCTGGCAGATCTTTGGAGCGTACGCGACACATCCCTTCAGGTTTAGCGACCATTACTATGGCACTGGCGAGACATTCCTCTACACCTTCTGTCCACATTTCAAGGTAAGCGGGTGCTCACTTTCTTAAATAAGATTTTTGGATGCCACTTCTGAAACATCGATGAAATGTTTATGGACAGCGTATTTGGGTGCAGAAGATGTGCTGCCTGTTGGTGAATGCAGTTAATCACTTACTGCTCCAATGCAGTGCGTTAATCAGCAGGGGCTGTAATTATCCAAATGCCGAGAGCAGTCTGTGAGGGTGGGGAGAGGGTTTCAGTGGGCTGAGGGGGCGCAGGGAGGGGTGAGAAGACCCCCTAATGCCCATGGCTGCTGCGTGTTTCAGTATTGCACACATTGTGCCTTTAACAGAGCACCTGTTGATTCAGAGGTACAAGCAGAATTTCAAAAGGATTAGGATGCCTTGTTTATAGTTTAAATTGTATATTGTTCCTCTGCTTTCTGCCTATTTCCTCCTTCTTCTCCCCCTTCAAGAAAAAAATGAAATAAAATATGACCACAGCAAAAAGCACCTGCTAAGAGTCAGTCCCAGTAGTTTTCGAGTGCAGGAATCCTCACAGTCCAAATGTATCTGGTTCCCCCCAGGTGTTCAAATGGAGTGGCGAGAACACCTACTTCATCAATGGAGACACCAGCTCTCTGGAGCTGGGAGGAGGAGGGTGAGTGAATGTCGGGGTTTCCATTCATGGGGTGACTTGTATTTTAATGAGAGCGGGGACAAGGGTAATTTCAGGAAAAAGGCATCAGTAAAATGGCCAAACTTCTAGCAAACTGTTTAGTGCAGATAGCACAGTAATCTGATTTCTGTTACAGACCCAGCACTTCCCACTGCTTCGAGAGAGTGAATGATGTTGGGCAAGTAAATATTTGGGGTTTTTGAGATGAGAAAAGAGCCAGATGATTTGGGTAGATGCACGCCTCATTGCTGAATAGGTTTGCCCCTGGAAGATACTCTCTAAGGGCAGTTTTGCCATCAGCTGCTGAGGTTTCTCACGTGGTCCTTATGAAATGGTCATTATTCTGTAGCTGCACAGAGCGAGGATACAGGCGGTGCCTGTCAGCTCCTAAATTTCCCCGGTCAGTGGGTGTGAGATCAAGGGCTGAGCTGCTTGACTCCAGCCGACTGTGGGCTGCTCCACGGCGTGTGTAGGCATGGTTTGCATTGAGGGGAAGGGGGTGTAGGCACCCCTCCTCCTCCTCCTGAGCCAGAATGGAGCGGTGTCACCTCTGCTGGTGGTACCAGCAGGTTCTGGTATTTGCAGTGTGAGATCTAACCTGGAGGCTGCTGTGTGTTCCCTTCCCAGCGGCCGGTTTGGGCTGTGGCTGGATGCAGATCTGTATCACGGGCGCAGCAACTCCTGCAGCACCTTCAACAACGACATCCTCTCTAAGCAAGAAGACTTCATAATACAGGACGTGGAAGTGTGGACATTTGAGTGAAACGCTGCCTGTCGTAGGGACTGGACCCACGGGGCACGTAAAAGCCAAGGCGACGGTGCCGGCGGCCTCACGACGTCACACGCTTTTCCCTCCAGTTTGTACCAGAGCATGACTGCGCCAAACCCAGTACCCACCCCCAGGAGACCCGCGCCGGGTCCAGGGGCCGCAGGAGGCGGGACGGCGGGAGGTGGGACTGAGCGTCTGTCCTTCCTCCCCACCGAGGGCCCACGCTGCTGGGAACGCTGATGGTGTGTGAGCTCAAAACTTGGCTGTAACTGTGAAAAAGACCCTGTGGGAGAACTATCACTGTCTCGTACATTCCATGTGTATTTATGTTCAGCCTACAAATGCTAACCAAAAATAAAAGGTTACATTACCAAAACCTACAGCATATTGTTTGCCATGGAAAAGAATCACAAATAGGTGTACACAGCACTTAAGGGAACATGTTTTTTTAAATCTTTTTATTTATTATCATTGTATAGCAATCTTTTTTTGTCAATGTATTAGCTATGAGTTTGTTTTCTTTTAATGTTTCAAATCTCAGTTTGAGAAATAATTACCATTCAGGTAGGTTTCTTATGCATTGGCATTCATTCTGAAGCAATTTATTTGATTTCTGAAGTTAATTTTTATATTTTTTTATTTTGTAAATGAGGTTTTCATTTTACCCGAATTAGAGGGTTTGTTTTCTGGCAGAAACATTTGAGTGCATAATCCTGTTTGGGTTGTTTTCCTGAGACGAGGGAGAAGGTGGATGGTGCTTCTCGTTAGCTCTGCTGCCGCGTCCCTCTTCCCAGGCGATGGCTTTGGCAGCCTGTGCCCAGTTGTTGGGACCCCACAGCCTCACCATGGGGACGGGGGGCTCAGCCCTGCCCGGGGGTGTCCGACTGTTCACTTGGGGCATTTCCCAGGGAGGCCGGGTTTTCTGTATCAATGAGCCACCCGCTGTGCTTCTGTGAGCACCTCTCTGCAAACAGGAGGATAACCGCCTTGTTAAGGAGAAAACACACCTGAGATTGGAGAAGGTGGCGGTTTCCCCAACAGGCCAGGTCATGTTAGTGTAATACTTGTTTTCTGGGTAATTATACATGTGATTTCCTTCCTGAAAAAGACTTGAAGCAACAGGCTGGCTTAAGATTTGACAGGCAACTCAATATTCTTCTTTGTTCTTCATGAAATACCCAGATACCTTTCCCCCTCTCCCCTCGACACTGAAAGCCTGCACGTTGCACGAGGAGTGTTGGTGAGCAGGGAGAGCGTGGCAGGGGACCGGCACCTCCGCTGTTTGCCAAAGAACCCTGCTCTGGCCGGGAGCCGCGGGCTTGTTTCCCTGGTCCAGACCCCACCAGGGTGGGGAGACCCCCTGCCCTGGGACCCCAGTGTGCCCTGCTGCTGGGAGAGGGGGGTTTCACTACCAGTGCTGGGCTTTCCACGTTAAACACTGCACCCAGATTTGGGAATGCTATTAACTGAGCGCTACAGCTCCATTCAGCTACTGCTCTTCCCTTTTTGAGTCGATTTAAAAAGAAAACAAAGCAAGCAGCCAAGTGATTTTCCTTTGGAAGCGCTGCTGGCCCCGGCGCTGAGAAGGAGAGCGAGCCCCTCGTGCTGTGGGGCAGCTGTGCCCCAAATAAACACCTTATTGGCGGGGCTGGAAAACATTTTGGGAGTGTCTAACGGCATAACGCTTGGAAAATACCAGGAATGTCTAATAACGTTTGCTCTTTCAGATGGTGGCAGAACACTTAAAAAAAACCCAAACCCACCAAGTTCGACATTTTCCATCCATTTCACTCTTGCTACCTGCAACTTCCCCCGTCGTCCTGTCCGTGTCGGAGCATACCCAAACGCTGTGGGCTGTATTCAAAACAGTGTTGTTCGATCGAAATCCTGTGACCCTTGAGACTATGACTATTGAATATATGTAATGCAGTGCTATCACAATATTTTCAATAAAGGAATTTATGCATTCAGAAACTTGTTACAGGGGTTTTCTCTTCACAGATTTTAGTACACCTTAAAGACAAAAGGATGCAGCTTAAGTTACAGGTTATACTGAGGGATGCCTGTGCCCACCCTTCAGAAGCGCCATCCAGCTCTGTTGTATTTTAGAAACCTGGCAAAGGAGGTGGAGCTTCTGGTTGGGTTTCTGTGTGAGGTTTTACATTTGTCAGTGTTGGGTTGATGGTTGGACTTGATGATCTGAAAGGTCCCTTCCGAGGTGGCAATTCTGTGACTCTGTGATCTCCTGAAGCAGCTGTGGTCTGAGTTCACACAGAGTGCTGAGGAACACCAGCAGTGGTTAAAGGGCTGAGCTGGCAGCTCCTGCTGCAGTGAGGGACATCATTCCCTCCTCTTTTCTGACCACCCCGTTCCCAGAAGTCAAAGCTCCCTGTGCATCATTTGTGTGTGCACCCTGCTTACATTGCTAAAGTCTTCGTGTGTTTTTCTGTCTCTCCAGGCAAGACAGGGCCCACAATGTTTTCAGAGTACTCGGTTCTTGGCTTTTCTCGGTTTTATGGTACACAGAGGTGGTATTAAGAAAAAACAAAGTAGGCATGAAAGGGAACGAGAGTGCCATCTGCGAACCTGCTTCGGGTGAAATGCCTGTAGTTTTATGGTACACAGAGGTGGTATTAAGAAAAAACAAAGTAGGCATGAAAGGGAACAAGAATGCCATCTGCGAACCTGCTTCGGGTGAAATGTCTGTAAGAATTTTTTTAATGTCAAAGGAAAATTATAGTCAATAGTAATTTTTCTCAGAAAGCAAAAGCCTGTTCTTGCAATGTGAAGCATGTTCTTTAGTGGGGCTGGGAGAAAGGTTTTTGTTTCTGGAGAGTGTTGAATTGTGGACTGACAGTAAGGTGGGAGCATGTGCTTTCCTGCAGGCACAGCTCGCTTGCTCTGAAAGAAAGGCATCTCTGAAAAACCTCAGTCTAAATTCTGCAGCTCGTTACCTCGTTAAACACTGCGGCCTCTCGTCTGTGGGACAAATAAGTTGTGCCATTTGGGCTGCATGAAGAACATAAACCATTGAAATTCTGTGGTCAGGGATTCTGCAGCTCTTGTCTAACGAAGTGCAAACAGTTTGAAATGCAAATTATTAAGAAAGCATTTTTAGAACTTGCAGCTAGCTACCAGTTAGACATACCCTCTGTCGGCTCTGGAAGGAGGTGATTCAAATAAGCTCAGAACGTGTTCATTTTGTTCCTGGTTTCTCCCTTTTTTAGTGCAAACCCGGGGTGAGCGGAGCAGCGTTCTCACTGCTGCTGGGGGGCATCGGTAACGCCGAGTGTGTGGCTGGAGCTTTGCTGCCACACATCAAGGGCCTTTGGCATTTTACCTGCCCGGAGGAGCCTGTCCCCATGAGGGGTGAATCCGAGAAGGCACGCGGCCCTGCCTGGCCTGTGCTAATTAAAGTAATTGGGGTTCATGTCAGAGTTCTGTGGAGCAGGGTGATGTCTGCAGCCTCCCGCCATGGCCTGCGGCCTCTGCCGCTGAGAGGAGGGGGTAGCCAGGGGGGATCGGCCTCTGCTCCCAAGGAACAGGCGATGGACAAGAGGAGATGGCCCCAAGTTGTGCCAGGGGAGGGTTAGGATGGAAATTGGGGAAAAATTCTGCACGGAAAGGGCTGTGAAGCCTTGGAATGGGCTGCCCGGGGG